GAATTCTGACTTTAATCTCAGAATTCTGATTTTAATCCCAGAATTCTGACTTTAATCTCAGAATTCTGACTTTTTTTCCCATATCAAACTGAAATAATATTTAAAAATCAGTTAACTTTTTTTTTTTCCAGTGGCCCTAATACTCTTCCGTTGGTCAATGTTAATCGTGGCCTCTTTTTAAATGAGGTAAAATAAAAGCAGGCAGCACAGTATAACTGTCTTTCAATTTTGATCGTGGGTCAGCTTTGAATCATGCCCGGTGTTTTGAATCTAATGGTTTTGCCCTGACGGAGGCTGATGTTGTCATTGGTCAGACAGCCGCTGACAAAAACAGTGGGAGGTTCCCGGAAAACTCGCTAAGCGGAAGGGAAGGCCAGACACCAAGAAGCAGAAGACAGCAGCTGCCGATGAGGCCGAAGAAAGAAGAAAAAGTCATGTAAGTCCAACTATTTGATATGGCCGAACAGGAAGCGGAACTTTAAAAGATTTTATACTTTTTTGTTTTTATCGAAAAGCTGTTTGACTTTATTTCGTACAATCTCGCGGAGTCGATCAGACAAGTCCGAGCTCAACTAAATGTCCATTAGACTCGAAGGCTACGAGCTTCAAGCTCTAAAGGAGACCGCAAATTGAGAAACGACCCATAAAGCCGCGCAACAGTTTGTGCTCAGAAGTTAAAGGTATTGTTTGATGGCCGGAGGAGACGCAGTAAGAATAAAAGACGCCGAGTTTCCCATGGACAGCGTGAAACAGCTGACTACGCGCGCGGCCGAGAAAATGAAAGTTGTTTTAATGACGTTTTTGGACACAGCTGCTAACAATGCTATCAGGTTTCTCTTATTTTACCGTATACCTGTTAGCAGAAACAGTTAGCCGCGCTGAAAGTGTTCACTTATAACAGTTTTTTTCTTATTATTTAGTTTTTTGTTGTCGTTTTACCGACAGTAGGCTAATGCTAACATGCTAGGCAAACAGGCAAGCGTAACAGTTTGTTTCAGGCTAATATTTAGCTCTGACTACATTACCGTCTACAACTAGATCTGTATATTTAGAATCGCTGCTGGATATTCATGTATTTCCCTGGTAATGGGGTTAGCATGCGTTAGCTTTCATGCTAAAGCTAGCCACAACTAGAAAGAAGTTTCTCTAACTTGGAAACACTCTTTGACACTTTTCTCTGCGTGGTGGAAACGTGTTTACTCGCTATTTGTTTAGTCTGAAACACATTTTTTAATGGAAATATTTGGTTTTAACTACAGAAGTTGGAGGTTTCACTGTATCTATATTTTAAAAATATATACCTGTCTATTTAAATATTTACCTCTATCTATCTATCTATCTATCTATCTATCTATCTATCTATCTATCTATCTATCTATCTATCTATCTATCTATAACTATAAGTTGAAAATACAAATCAACTTAAATATCTCACGTATGGCTCTAAATGTCCACACGATCTTCTCATAAAAATATCTTTACGTTTGATAGGTGTCAGGTGTAACACTTCAGGACCCTTTTTATTAAAGCTAGCTACCTACACATGTGTCCACTTGCATTTAAAAGCACATCAGATCACATTTACCTTCCTAGATTGTGTTTACAGCTTCATAGAAGGAGCTGCGCTTGAACATTTGCAATAGAAGGGGACAGACAGTTACGTGCATGGGTTGTTTATCATGTTTGGACCTTGGCCTCATAAAAGGGCATTGCATTTTAGCAAATCAGTCCAAGTAAAAAGTTGATTTATTTTATTATTTTAGTTATGTTTTTGTCACAACTTTTTTGTATATGTTACATATATATGTTTTATACTTTTAGAGTTGTGCATCGAAACCACAAATGAAAACAAGGGTTTTTGTTTCTAGTTATAAGATTTTAAGTGGGTTGTGAAGTTTTTGTGAAATAATTGATTAATATAAACCTCTAAGAATAAGTATTTGCAGCGTAGATCTGACAAAGTAAGCATTTTCAAGAAAAAACAAAATTCCTTAAGGTCTTTTCATTCAAAGAGGCAAGTGTTAATTGAATATGCTTTATAGAAATATTTAGTTTTCAGCTCTTGTCATTTTGAGACGTTGCACTGCATAAGGTCGTGGTGATTGGGCTTGTGGGTAACTATTCTTCTCAGTTTGGTTACTTAGCATTTCACAGAAACGTCATAAGAAAGGGAAGTGCCTCTGATTTCCTATTGGCCTTGAGAGTGATTACTATCTCCTTTTCTTGTTCTGTGTTACATCAGTGCTTTTATATTTAAACTTTAATTTCAAACAAGTGTTTGAAAAGAAACATTTGGAGTTCTGTGTATGAAGAGGGTTCCTCTTTTCATTATGGATCTTGGGTGTAGTTCTGACTTTGTATTTTTACTGTGGGAACTTTGCATCTATCCGCAGTGGGCACAACTTGAAATCTTTGTAGTGACTGCATGTGTGAAACTGCTACGGCTAATTCTGTGTAGTATAGCATAGTGGACAAAGGGAAACCTGTGATGCAGCCTTTATATCTGATACCACCAGCTGTTCTGTGACCCCACCCTTTCCCACAATGCATGTCTCTGGTTGCTCTCATAAAACTTGCACTGTAACTGTTTTATCTGCACAACTTATTAACCCATTAAGACCAGAGGATCCATATATAGATGTGCCAATATGTTATGTCAAGTGTGCATTATTTTGGTCTGTACTAAGGGTTTAATCATTTCAAAATGAATATATTTTACTTTTTTCTTAAAATGTTAATATGTATTCTTTTTTCTTCTATGTTGCAGTTGAAATATTTGACATTAGCTACATTTTGCATACATACCACAGTTATTTTCCTATAAGTCAAATAAGACGAGTGAGATGGACAGTTTTATTGAAAGGTATAGAAAAGGCAGAGGAGTTGAGGAGCCAGTGTTACACGTGGGGTAATTTCACATTATTTTTAGCTGTTTTTTTTTTTTTGCTTCTATTATTAAATTGAGAGAAAAACCCTTTTCTTTAGTTTTACTATATCTTAACCCCTTATTCATTGTATTAAATGCAGTGCACTCCCTGTTGGTGTCTTGGACATCATGCTGGCTGCAGAGCAAAGAGGCCATGATGAATATTTAACAGGCTCTTGTGACTGCTTCCTTCTTCTCCTCCCTTTGCCCCTGACCAACTCTTGCTTTTTTTTTCTCTCTTCCTGCTCCATTTCATTTTAAAGTTCTGAGTGCTCTTTAGCCACACACTCAAAGCATCTTAAAAAGCATGATTGAGGTGGAAATGTGAATAAAATGTCTTGCTGTTATTCCAGTTCTGACTTATTTTGTAGGTGATAAATTCAGCTAAACTCTTCTTGGATGCTTGTGAACTAAAAAAGTACAGATTGATCTGTGTTTGTCCCAGCAAGTGTCAAGAGCAAACCCGCAAAACACCATCCATATCTGAAATATATGGGGAAAGCTGCAGGTCCATACAATGTTTGTGGAAAAAAAAGTAACCCCCCCAAATACTACTGCAGCTTGCTGAAGTTTGATTGTAATACAGCAGTAGAACATGGTTTCTGTTCTGTCAAGTAAAACATGCAAGTCCTGAATATTTTATGAACAAAGCTGTGATCTGGAGTCACATGTTAAAGATTAGAAAGAGTTCACCAACAACCAGGGAAAAGCTTTGTTCACTTAAGTGTCTTTTCAGCCCATTTCTTCATTCAACCAAAAAAATTTGCCTTCTTATTTGTATATAGCATAATACTGGGCCAAACCATGTTAAAAGGCTAGATTTATCGTGTTCAGCAGTTAAGTGTTCTGCAATCTTCACTTCCTGGTTTTAGCTGAGCTGTTTCCTGTCCTTTGACTGAGGAGAAACTGGCTGACCTAATGTTTGTCATACAGCTAAAAAGAAAAAAGATTAGGGAATGTTTAAGAAAATCTTGACTGGCAAACGTGAAGCAAACTGTGTTTATATTGAAGTGTGCAGTTATTGTAAAATCCTTCACAGTTTATATGAGTTCAATTAGATCAAATAGAAATGTGTGATTAGTGGGGCTTACTTCTGCCTCTGTTTTAAGTTCCTCTTTTTTACTATTGACAGCACACAAACATGAAAAATAATTAAATTTACCCGCTCTATGCAAAACAACCGTGTATTGAAAGTGGACATGTTAAACCTTTTTTTGATTTTTGTTACAATTTAGGGTTTATGTTATTTAAAAAAAAGGCTCACTCTATTGGACTAGATCAAGGACATCTCTGTTTACTTTATAGATATTAATTGTGGTTAATATTTTTTTCCAAACATTGTTTCACCCATTTGGGGATTCAGATTAGAAAATCGGTTGCGTATTGGATTAACTCAAGAAATTATATCTGTTCAACTGATATAATTTAATGCGGTTTAGACTTGATGAAACATTTTAACAAGACATGTCTGAACCAGCTTAAGTGTTTCAATGAGTGTCCTTTCTGTGGAAAGAAAGTTCTGCTTCTTTGCATGTTCAAAAGATAATCAACATGCTGAAAGGTCAATTCATGTAACCATTCAGTTTGCTGATTTACATGGACCCTGAATTATGTTTTTATAACCCTAATCCTGCTCAATAAATACATTTTGCATAGGTGGATTATAGAAAGGTACTTTGCTAAAACCCCATATTGCAGTCCTTTAAGTTATTAAAAAGTTAGATATGTTTTAGTAATTCAGAAATGGGAATTTCTGCCTTTGGTTTTAAAATAATGGTTGTATGCGATACTGTCTTAACAATCTTCATAGTGTGGTCTGAGTAAAGCCTGTGGGAGAAAAAAACAGGCCATAATTTCCCTTAAGCCATTAAGGTTTCTTTCTTCTGTACATGTTTATGTTAAACAGTGTTGAATGAATAACTCTCATCCTGGGTAATGAGTTTGTGTTTTGCTTTAACAGTAATGTTAAACCATAGCTTTTGAAAAGTAACACCACAACTGTAATATTGATAAATATTTGATTGAATTAAGGGGATTTTTGTTTCTGGTGGATTATGGTGTGGATTCATTGTTGTATTCAGATGGTTTGACTGTTTAGTGGAAACTCTTCAAACTTAACAGTTTTTTTGTTGTTGTTTTTTTTTTTGTTTTTTTACAGCTCCCACTTGTGAAGTGCTGTCCTCCTCCAGAAATACTGCCTGCATGACCTGAGCCTACCTGTGTTCATCCTTCTGCAAAAAAAAAACAAAACAAACTAAGCCTCTCTTCATCAATCCTCCCCTCCCCCCCAACACACATTTTTTTTCCCACCTAATTTTCCACGCTGCAATATGGCAGGGCGAGGTGGACCCGCACGGACCAACGGCGCTGCTGCAAGCAACAAGATCTGTCAGTTTAAGCTAGTGCTACTCGGAGAGTCGGCAGTAGGGAAGTCCAGCCTGGTGCTGCGCTTTGTCAAGGGTCAGTTTCACGAGTACCAAGAGAGCACCATTGGAGGTAAGGACTCCCAACATTAATACATATTTTGCCCATTTTAAATGGCTGTGTTTTTGCAGACACACATTTGGAAGAAGTAACAATTTTTATAACATTCGATTAACATTCATTGGAACTCAAAAGATTAGGAACATTCAGGGTTTATTACTTTTCTTCATTAAACTTTGTAAGAACGCAGCACTTTTCCTAGCTACTAAATTTGCATGTAGATGTTTAGTTGTTCGGTTTTTTTTTTGTTTGTTTTTTTTCGTTTTCTCAACTTTCAGATAATCTTAAATCAGCTGTATATTATAAAACTTGGAAATGTACCAGCAAAAGTTGATTTCCCTTCTTTATAAAAAAATGTAATGTTCTACTTCTTTTGAATGTTTTTTTTTTTTAAGAAACGTGCAGTTATCTGTTGATGGAGCAAATGCTTTATGTCATGGTTTTAAGGTGATTGGCCCACATGCAGACAAAGACAGAGGAAAACAGGAGCGGTTTAAGATGTTTATTGTCAACACAACAAATAAGTCAGTCGTGAACAGGCACCGCAGACGAGGTTCGGAACGTCAGTGTTAGGGGTTCTGCGGGAGGAAAAAGGAAGCTGATTAAGACTAAGAAAAGAAAAAGTACCTGCGCTGTTGCTGCTCTGCTTACCAGCAGATAGGATAACCTATCCGGGGAGGGTGAGTGGTGGAATGGGTTCTGTAATTCACAGCTTTCCGATGGGAGGATGTGGCTGAGCAACAGGTGGGAATTAGGCGGGGGCCTGAGCAGTACCGCAGCGGAGGCAGGTTTGAGGAGCAACTGAAAGAACCAGGGTGAATCCAGGAGAAAGGTCTCTTGTCCTACTTGTTAATACTGAGGGGGCTTGAGGGGAACGCCAGAGCAGAATCTGAGCAGCAGGGATTCAGTGACCAGTCCTCTGAGCAAAGAGACGGGCGGATGAGCGATCCAAAGCTCAACGAACTAAGGGAGAAATCTAGAGATCTGTCAGTCGGACTGAGACCTTGTCGTACCACAACGGTTTAACACTCTGGCGTCCTTCAGCTGGCTGAACGCTCTCCCCTTAGGCTCAGCAGAGCAGCCTCAACCAGCCGCAGGTGCGGGGACACGCTCACCTGTCAGCAGCAACCACCTGTGGAAGAGAGTAAGCAGAGCACAGAACACCGAACCCTGACACTTTATAAACCAAAGCCATTAGCGACTCAAACTGAAACCCGGGTACTGATCTTGTAGGTTAATAAAATATTTTTTGTTGTTTATAAATAAACATAAAAAGCATTTTGGTTTTCTAGATTCTAATATCTTCATAATAAAACCAAAAATAAATTATGTAAGGTCCATCTGGTTTTGCTATCTTTTTTTTATTTTTTATTTCATAATTATCCCAAAGGCTAGTTGAATGCGTTTCCCCAAATATGATGTACATTTTCTATCAACTTAAAAATGACTTTGTGAAATGCAAAAACTTGGAATTACTTCAAAAAATGGACATGATTTGTCACATTTTCCACCAATGGAGCTCATTGCTGCAGTGCATACTGGAGTGATGATGGATTAGGTCTTTCTGAACTGGAACCTGCTGAGTAAACACAGGAATGCTAACATTAGCCAGCTGTCTTTTATCCTGTTGTATTGACAGCTTTAAATTTGAACAAGGCCACAACTGCCTTTTTTATGAGCGGTTACACATGAGATCTGCTGAAACAGACAGCTGACCAGCGATCAGCTAGTGAGCTGCTCCTACAGTAGCGTTTGCATTCTAACCAGAATGCAATTCAGCGTAAACAAGCATACGTTCATGTAGCAGTACTTTATTTACATCTAAAAAAAAAACTAAACGGATGACGATATTTTAGTGCTTTATTTTTACATTGAATATAAATATATATCTAATCTGTTACTGCTAATCATGGCTCTCTTTAAAATGCTATTCCTGTTAAACACTCATCTGTGTTTAGACTACTGATGATGTGCATCGCTGATGAAAACATCAGAGCCTGTATTTACTAAGAATCTCTGTCCTCTGAGCTCCCAAAGTGATTAAATAAATGTTACCAAGGAATATTTGCTCAGAAATAAAACCGACGTTTGCTTAGAGCAACTCTAAGTAAGAAGATTACAGGAACTTTTTTCTTTGTATGTGTGGTTGACCCTGCTCCTCGGTGTGACGCTTCGTCTGAGAGCTGAAACGTCAATATTTTGATTGCTTATCTGTATTCACTGTGCTGGTCATTTTAGTACTTAATAGGTTTGATTTAAATCTGAATTCAGCTGGCATTTTATCGTTATCTGCTGCTTACAGGAAGCAGTTGCTTTTGGCAAAATGACCAACATAAAATGAAAGGGGAAAAAAAGTTGGAAAGCCCAGAAAAGGTTTTTTTTTTTTTTTTTTTTAATGTTTTAAACAGGACACCATACTAGGAAACGCATTAGATAAATTTTTAATAATACGGAAAAAACATTTGTAAGATCATGTTATTTCTGTTTTTTTTTTACGTTGGGCCCTTGATTTTACATTATTACATCATTTTTCTACTCACCCATATGAGTTTTTTTGTCTTCTCTGAAGATATTCCGTTATGTTATATCCAAGTAACGTCTTCCTATGGGCAAACGACTTGAAGGCACAAACTAAACTGTTCATAATTCATTGTTTATTATTAAAGCGGCACGTGTATGACATCATCCGCGTGAGTAGAACATGATGTAATAAAGTAAAATCAAGGGCCCAATGTAAAAAAATAAATAAACGGCGTTCCCCTTTAAGAGTTTAAAAATGATAAAGTAAAAACTTATTTTTAACAGACAATATTTCTAATGTTAAGTTGATACATTTTAAGATATTTTGATTTTCATGTAAAATAAATTAGTCAGTTTCTGTCCTCCATAGTTTCAGCCCACCTTATAGGGAAATAAAGCACTGAAGTGTTACTTCCGTTTTTGGTCAAACAGTAGACCAGATGACTGATAAATAGGAAGTACCTCTGATTATGGGATACAATTATTGCACTCTATGTTCTAATCCACCTCTGTGTGCTCACATTTACCTGTTATTTTCCTAATAATGGTACAGTTTACTTTTGAAAAACAAAGAATCACTCCCTACAAAAACAAATCCGGCTCATACCAAATATGTTACAGTGTAACCAAGGATCTGGTCAGTTTAAATGTATTCTGCAGCATTTTTCTGTCTTTCTGGTCATTTTGCAAAATAATTTTAGTGATTAACTGCAGCAGCAGAGTAGGTAGTTAGGTTTTTCACGGTTTTTCCTGTGTCTGGAAGAGGGAGTTCAGACTATCAGGACGCTGTCATTGGGCTGTCGGTGTCTGTCAAACTAATTACAGCCAGTGTTTACTTATGTTGTTGGGGGCTGCCTTTACATTGTAGTTTACCATCACCAGTGTGTTTGTGAATCAGTGCGTTAAAGCGTGACTAGCTGGGTTTCTGTCCAAATGTATTTTTAGCATACTTTTATAACTACAGAAAGCATAAAATGTGAGTGAGACATGTTTCCATCCACTGGAGCGGATTATGTCGTCAGTCAGACGGATTCCAGAGGAGTAAGTCAGTCTGGTAAAGCTCAGACTCTCTGGTCTAAAACAGACCAAGCACAGCGCAGAAGGGAAGAGTTTATGCCGCTACCAGAATTACCCATATTGCAAAAATGCCTTTTCTGTAACCATAACGGTCAAGATTGCAGCCTCTACGGAGGGATGTTTTAATTTCCTTTATGTCCCGAAAGAGTTTGATATATCCTAAACATTTCAACTAACTGCTGTAAAAGCTTTTCTTTATAAGATAGATGTTTCAGTGTCACATCCATAGTTACCTGATTTGTGGGGGTTTTTTTTGTTGGGTTGGTCCCACCTTTGAAATGGGGCTCTACTTGCTCTTTTCCAGACTCATTCGCCTCATTGGCTGTAATAAACAGGAAGTAGAGGTAGCAAGCTAGTGCAGTTAAAAGTTTAGTTCTGATGTGCAGCTGAAGCTTCTTCGCTACTCTAGCTGCGCGGTCCAAAAGTGGATCTGATGCTAATGGGAGGAGCTACCCTATCATTTCTTTGCCTTTAACAGCGGCAGTTATATATGCTGTGATCAGTGGTTAAAAAAATAGTTTTAGTATCTTTTTTTAAGTGTGAAAGTCCACCCCCGTACACCAGCAATGCGCTGTCGCTAGGAATTCCCGTTCAACTGCAGCTTCTGGCACCGGCGCCTCTTCGCAGCTTTCCGCTAGTGTTTGGGGCGGCTTTCATACGTAATCCAAACTGCAGGCACCAGAATAATACAATCAAACATATTTTGCAGACAGGTTTCAACATTTCAAGTTAATGACAACATACATGCGCCGCTTCGTTTTTAAAAGATATAAATATAAAAAAATATAACCGCAGATGTCTTGGGGACAGGTATTCACCTACATGTTATGAATGCTGGCATATCGTAAATGATAAATTATGAACAGTTTAGTTTGTGCCTTCAAGTCGTTTGCCCATAGGAAGGTGTTACTTGGATATAACCTAACGGAATATCTTCGGAACAGCTCCAAATGACATAAAAATAATACGGGTGTGTAAAATATGATGTAATGTGTAAAATCAAGGGCCCGGTGTAAAAAAAACTGCACTCCCCTTTAAAAAACTGTGTATCAGTCAATGTCTACTTAAGATCTAAGGTTCTTTGTGAGTAGCTTTTATCTTACCAATGTATAGTTTAAGAATAATCTGAAATTCAAGAGATCCTGAGATTTTTTATTTTTTCCAGAATACCATTATTGGGATCTAATTTTAGCCTTGGGATTCTTTGTGAATATGGGAGCAGAGCTTTAACACTGAGGCAGAAGGCATGTTTGTCTCTGTGTACGGGTGCTGATTTCTGGCAGGTCTTGCTCATTTCTGTTGTCAGTTAAGGGTTGAAGAAGAACCAGTAGAACCTGTTCTTCCAAGAGAAGTCATCCAAAAGGATAACTTCCATTGGCTTCAGGGTTTTCACACAGAGTAGGCAGGTATTTTTATTTTTTTTACCAGAACTGGTCAAACTGCAGACAGTGACATCATTCCAATGGGAGATTCTCTTCACCTCCTATTAAGAATTTAGGAGGACCTAGATTAAACCATCTAATCAAAATAAGAACAACTGATGTAGTGGATGTGAATTGTGCTTTTATTTAAAGTAGGAATATTTGTATTTTAATGCTACATAAACAACTGTTAATCCATCTGAAACTGGATTAGCAACTGGAAACTTCCCACCATTTCATCTCTTTCCCACTGATGTTCCACAGCCTCGGGGTTATGTGTTATTTGAACCTTCTGTCCATTTTTAAAGGATACAAAAAGAGCATAGTCCTATGGGGTGACAGCTGTAGAAAAACCTGCGTTGCAAATATTATTTGTAATACATATACAGATGCTTAGGATGCTGACGGATGTCAATTTTAAGTGGTAATGTAATCGGCACTTTTTCCTTAACTGATTTCCTTGCTGTATCCGTTTTGTCATCCGTTTTAGTCAAGTTGCATAAGGACGTAGGAACAGGATACTCGCCAAAGAATGAAGAAAAAAAGAACAAGTCAGCATTTCCCCCCCCCTTTTTTTTTTATTCTGCTGAACCTGCGGTCAGCGGCATGCCTGGTCAAAGATTACAAAGCTCTATAATGTGTGGCATTTAAGAAAGAGCTAAGCTTCAGGTGTCATGTGAGAGTTGGCTGATCATATGAAATGAGTGCAGCTCGTAAACTAACGTTTCCTCCTGCTTTCTTCTTATTTCTCCTCAGCAGTTTGTTTCTCACTCTGATTAATGTTGTTTTTAGCAGATTGGGAGCATGAATAACTGATTTTATACAATTTATGGCCTAATTTAGCTTTTTTTTTCTTATTACCTTTAGGGCTGCAACTAACGATTATTTAGCAAATTGACTAATCTGTTGAATATTTTTATCAATTAATTAATTATCGAATAGCCAAAGATTCCTTAAAGAAGACATGAAATAAATCAGGCGAAACTCAAGCTTTTCAACTTGAGTTCTGGAGCATATTGATGGAGTTTTTTATCTTAAATGCAAAATGTTTTTATATTTCTTTACAAACTTGCCATAATTACTGCTCTAACTAGGTTGCTATGTCAGCTAAAGGCGTGTTTTAGAGTCTCTTAGAGTCTTTTAGAGTTTTTTTTTTTTTTTAAGAGTATACTCCAGTTAACTACTAAATTAGTTGACAAGTATTTAAATAATCAATTAATTCGATTAATTGTTTCAGCCCTAATTACATAAAGTCTAACTCTGGATGTAAGTCAGATATTCTCCTTGATTCTCAGTCAAAATTTTTATTTTTATTTGTTGTTTTTTTTCAGCTGCCTTCCTCACACAGACAGTATGTTTGGATGATACAACAGTAAAGTTTGAGATCTGGGACACCGCAGGACAAGAACGGTATCACAGCTTGGCACCTATGTACTACAGAGGAGCCCAGGCTGCCATTGTGGTCTTCGACATCACCAACACAGTGAGTGACGTGACTTGTAGGAAAATGGCAGTGCCCTCTAAAACTTTGTCTTCCATTTGCTCGATTATGTTAAATTTAAGAGTTAAAACTTGCGTAACCAATTTAAATGCATAAAATCACATGATTGTGCACATTTCCTTGTAAAGGACACCTTCACACGTGCGAAGAACTGGGTTAAGGAGCTTCAGCGACAAGCCAGCCCCAACATTGTTATTGCACTAGCAGGAAACAAAGCCGACCTGGCCAACAAGAGAGCCGTCGAATTCCAGGTAAGGAGGAAAATAAACGCAGTATTTCACTCAGGTTCTCATTCAAAGGAAAATGCGCTCCAAATGTCCTGAGATGTTTTTCATTGGTCCTGTAGGAAGCACAAACATATGCGGACGACAACAGTTTGCTCTTTATGGAAACTTCAGCCAAGACCGCAATGAATGTTAATGAGATTTTTATGGCCATAGGTGAGTGTTTGACAGAAGTCCAAGTAATTGATTAATTATTAAACAGGCAGAGGAGGAATTCATAGTCACTCTGTAATTGTGCTTTATTTAACCTGATCAAAATCCAAAGAAGTTTTTTTGATTTATTTAACAGAAAGATTATGATCTCATTGTATCATTAAGATTTCAGTATCAAGTTAATCAAAAAACTGATTCAAAATTCTGAATTTCTCAATATTTTTCTCTAGTTTTTAGGTTTACACTTAATTGGGAAACAGTAGGGCCCTTTGTTGAGTTACTTAAAAGTAGAGATTAACCGATCCTCTTCGTTCTCCACAACAGCCAAGAAGCTTCCGAAGAACGAGCCTCAAGGTGGAGCGGGGCCAGGTGGACGGGCCAGAGGTGGCGTGGACCTGCAGGAAACCGCTCCACAGGGCCGAAGCAGCCAGTGCTGTGGGGGTGGGAACTAACTAACTAACTCAGTCAGCTGATCCAACCCATTTACAGCTTCGATCAATCACACCAGATATTAGCCAGCTGTAAAACGATGCCCCGTTGGTCAAACAAACCAAACCACTAAAAGACCAACTTGTCCTCTCGGCACCAATTAACTGTTTGGAAAAAAAAATTGAGCATACTGGCCAGTAGATTGCCAGATCCCACTGATGGTCCCAGCTTGATGAACCTGCCAAAAATACCAAGAAATCAACCTACAGGCTCAATCACAGAATCATGTCTTTCACCCCTGGACTCACCTGTCCATTACCTTTTTGATGACGGACACATGACGTCACCTTGGAGGGAAAAACAAAATCCAATTCATGGAAGGAAAGCGGTCATTAACCATTGCCTCCAACGGAGCTATCTTGTCCACTGTTCTGTGTTTGTATTGAGAAAAATAAATTAACGCAAAAGGAAGGAGTGCACGCTCCTTTTTTTACTAGGACTCACTTTACAACTGCACCATACATGTTTCCATCATGCTATTATGTTGAAGAAAGGTGCATGCAGAGTCTTAAAGGAATCAGATCTATAGAATTGAGCTGTGTAAATTGAATGATCTCTATTAATAAAGTTTTATTTTTCTTTTGGCACAGACTGGACAGTATGATTTAAAACCTGTCATAAGGTTTTAGTCCTTTATCTATGTTATCAAAGCGTATACAACAAATGCATCTTTATTAACAATTTCACCTGTATGTAATTTTAGCATTAATGTAATGTTTTTGATTTATCAGTGTAAAAATGGGAGATGTGTAAAGTTCTTTTTTGTTTCTTGACCAAAATCACAACTGCATATAAGACTTATTTCTGTATTTGTAAGACTTTGGAAGTTTGCAATCGATCTGTAGTTACTGTCTAAAAAAAAAAAATCTTCTCAATCTGTTTATATTCTGTCAACATTTTTTTCCCCTCTGTCTTAACTTTTTTCCCTTCTGAAGATTGATGGTATTAAATGCACGGGTTCTGTCTCATCAGTTTTGTGAATTGAGATGTTATCTTTTGCTTCTCTTATTTCAAGGAGGGATTGGTTTTGAGTTGTCACCCTACTGTGGCATCAAAATCTTGCAAAAAGAGAAGGCTAAAACAACTTTCACCAGAGCAGCACTCACTGCTGCAAAGTGGAAGGATAACGGGTAGACTGGATGTGTAGAGGAGGAACAAAAATGTAATTTTACAAATAAAAGAGCAGATGGTACCTTTCTGTGTTTTAATCTTATTTTTATATTAAGTATTCTTACTGATGCAGATTCCATCTTGGAGAGAATAATTTAATTTTAGTGGCTCTTTTCAACTATAGATTTAGCTTAATTATGCAGTTAATGCTCAAAATGTAACATCTGAAAATAAACCTTTTGCAACTGTAGTTTAACAATTGTTAGCATTGATTAGATAAATGTTTAAGTAAAATATTTTGGAAAGATAAGGTTTTAAAACCCAAACTCCTCACAACTATATAGTATGGTTAAAAGTTATATTTGATATGATTTAATGAGTAGTATTTAGAGTTTTAGGCATGGTAAAAAGGTGATGCCCCTCCCTTACCTGTTGCTGCAAACCAGTGTCTTACATTAAAGCTTTTTGCACTCCATTTTGAATATGCTTAATATGGTTTTATCAGTAGTAGAGAAAATTAGACGTTGCCATTTTGGGCAAAACCTAATAAGTGATGTTTTTTATGTTTTTGTGTAACTATATATCGTTTTTTTTAACATCAGGTTTGCCACATTGTGGAAATTGCATACCTACCTGTCTTCAGTTGAGAAGTCAAATGTTTTGCAGTGTTCACTGGCAGTAAGGACTTCAAAATCTGCAGGTTCTATTTAGCTGCAAACGATAATCTTGATATATAATTATTTTTCATGGATGAATGTAGCTTTTAACATCAGGCGTGACAGATCATTACATTTTATGTACAGCACGATATCTATGTAAATGTTTCTGTGATATTTGGTCTGTAGAAAGCTCATTTTTCCGACCGCACCTAAAGGCAGCAGCGTATGAGCTAATCGGTAGCGGAGGGAAGTGTGTGTAGCCGCAGCGTGGAGATGTCGGACCCGGCTACACAGGCCTTACAGCCCCGGCTACAAGCCCAGGCGAGTGGCTCGGCGGGGACCGGGGCTTCCACTGCAGGCCCCGGGACAACCAGCAGCGACCCGGTTAGACCCGGACTTAGCCAGCAGCAGCGCGCGAGCCAGAAGAAAGCCCAAGTCCGGGCTTTCCCACGAGCTAAAAAGCTGGAGAAACTTGGCGTATTCTCCGCGTGCAAGGTAGCTAACACGGCTAGCCCAACTTTGCAACAACAAAACAATGATATGAAATTAAAATATTTTATATACCTTAATAATAACACACTATTAAAACAGTTAATCAGCGTAGCTGTAAAACATCTTAGCTAGCTAACATAACGGTGAAATGGACGCTTATATTATAGCATTGATGGATATTTCCTAGCTAGCTTAATTGATGCCAGTGATTGACATGCTAAGCCATCATTTTAATTGTTCTTGCGGCTTATTTTGATCTTATTCTCAGGCCAGTGATACATGCAAGTGCAATGGATGGAAAAACCCGAATCCTCCCTCTGCTACACGGATGGACCTGCAGCAGCAAGCAGCCAGCCTGAGCGAGCCCTGCCGCAGCTGTGGACATGCACTGGGTACCAACTAAGCAGCCTCTTCACTCAATCACAGAACCATGCAGCACGATGAGCATCTTGACACAACATCTGTCTTAAAATGCATGTTAGATCCGGCGATATTTTCCAAACCACAATGAAAAATAATTTAAGTTATTGAGCTATCTTAGGTGGGGTCTCAAATTGCATCTGCATCTCAACGATTATTCCCTTTACATGGCTGTCAACTCTCACCCATTGGGAGTGGGACTCACCCATCACAGTGTCTTCACACACTGTCACTTCATATTTCCAATTTCTCACACTAAAAAATGACAGACATTCAAACTCAACTGCGTTCCTCTTATTTATGTGTATAAAATACCATGGTGATCATAATCCAGTCTGTGTTTTTAATTCAACCTTAGTGCTAACACAGGAGGATATGCCAGGTTTATTTTGGTCCATTTAATTTGTTTAAAAACTTAATTTCCATCACACCTTCCAAATTGAAACATCCAGAGAAGTGCTGTCTCCTGTCAGTTTGAGTTTTTATAAAATCTACAGCCTCCTAAAAGGTCTGAATTGTTTAGCTTTTTGTCAACTGTCAGAAAAACTAATAACATAATGAAGCTTTTTAATCCTTAGCCTATTACCAAATATTCCTACACAGTGTACTGTGCATATGTTTTGATTGCACTGGTTCCTGTATTAGTGCCAGTAACCGAGTAATAGCTTATTAGTTCCCCATTGTTTTGATTTACTTTAACTGCAGAGAATAATTAATAAACAACGTTGTGTAATTCTTAGTTCAAAGTATAAAGTAAATATTTAAGTTGCAAGTATTTTAGTGAGGCCCGTTCTGCTTTACTTGAATTCTCTAAAAATCACCAGAATGTAGAAAATAATGATTATTGTGAGAAAAATGTTCCACATAACTACAGACCACCTATTGTTACTCAGTAACATTTACTGTGTTATAAGAATTCCACATTTTGCCACTTCGTTTCAGTTAAATCCTCTGAAAACCTCCAACCTACAAGGTTTCCTGTCCAAACTATTTCAAAATCTCACCCCAAGGTCTGGTGAAAAGTTGGCAGCCCTGCCTTCAGTTTAATTTACCAACTTGTAATATTGGAATAAAAAACAAAATCATGTTCCCTCGGTAGCTTGCTTTCAACATGGTGTTTAGCAGTTTTAATGATGGTTTTTGTTTTCTTTTGAGGGGGACATTTCTTTGCTTTTATAGTCAGTAGCCAGCAATATCCAAAAAACTCATTCAAGAGAGGCGTTAATTATTATGGTATGTGAATAGAATGCGTTCTTGATTAATACACTCAAAACATTTTGAAAATGTATAATAAATCCCATGCAATGAAAAATAAAATAACTACCCACAAACCTTTTTATAGATTTCCATTTTAGAGCAGAAGTAATCTAAAACAAAATCTAGACAAGTCATTTTTTCTTAAAATATGTTCTTGGATTAAGGAGGTAATTTTACATTTTACAAGAAAATTTACATTTAAAATAAGAAAACAGAATTGGTTTGTATTATTTTAAGTGCATGTTATCTAATTATCTTGTTTTAAGTGTAAACATACTCATTCCATTGGCAAACTCTCATTTATCTACTCAAATTAAGGGTCAATACACTTAATTTAAGACATTTTTGCTTATTTCTAGATTGTTTTTCCAGTGTAGAAAATTGATTTTAGTTTAGTTGTGTCCACAGGAACTTAGACAACTTTATTGTCGTTTTGTATATACAGAGATAAATTTTCCGTATACAGCTGTTACACAGGCAATAAAATCATATTCTGGTTTATTGCAAAGCATGACATTTATCTCAAAAAGTCCACACTTAAAAATGTATTCTTAAATCATTATACTAAAACAAAACTTATAGATGTGAAACATAATGGAGAGAGTAACTTGGTTTGGTTAAGACTTAAATGTTTTGGATTTTACCCTGAGGACTTCAGCCTTAGAAAGAAAATGTTGGGTTTGATTCATTTACTTCTAATTTATTTGATAATTATGGTTAAATATTTCTACTCCTTATAGCTATAAATCATTTATAGCATGCAGTTCCCCATGCTTCTTCCCTTATCCTATTTTTAAAACTAGTTTTATATAGAAAGCTGATATATATTTTTGCAGATAAATTTGATATTTGTCTTTATCTTTAATTTGTTAAAGTGCTCTTACTTATCTTTTAATGATTTAGTAAAAGTTGGCTTTCCTAGTTGTCATATAAAAGATAAAAAAAACAGACCTTTGCTCACAACTTTGTCTTTTTTCACAGCTGATCACGTGTCCCATCTCGAGAACGTGTCTGAGGATGAGATCAACAGGCTGCTGGGAATGGTGGTTGACGTGGAGAATCTTTTCATGTCTGTACACAAAGAGGAGGACACTGATACCAAACAAGTGTACTTCTACCTTTTCAAAGTACGCCATAACTGCATTTCAGAATTGGATTCATTTGAAACGCCAAAGCAGACAGCCTGGTGCTCAATGTCTTTCATTGTGTCTTTAAGCTCCTGAGGAAATGCATCCTCCAGATGAGTCAGCCTGTAGTAGAGGGATCCCTCGGAAGCCCACCTTTTGAAAGGCCCAACATTGAGCAAGTAAGATAAAGCTTCTTAGAAAGTATCTACAGTTTAGGATTGTGTTTTTTTTTATTTTTATTAATTTTGTCTATCTTTCATTTTGGCAGGGCGTTTTGAATTTTGTACAGTATAAGTTCAGTCACCTTGCACCAAAGGAGAGACAGACTATGTTTGAACTGTCAAAGATGTTTCTTATATGTCTGAATTACTGGAAACTTGAGACACCAACACAGTATCGTCAGCGTACCCAGAAAGACGATGCAACGGCGTACAAGCTGGACTACACCAGGTGTGTGCATACGTTTTTTTCTATTTTGTTTGAATTTTTAAGTATCCAAATTAGTTCATTTTACAAATATATTATAAATCACATACATGACAGCAGTGTTTATCTCCATTGCTGCCAGGTGGTTGTGCTACTGCCACGTCCCACAAAGTAACGACAGCCTGCCGCGCTATGAGACGACGCAGGTGTTTGGCAGAAACCTCCTTAAGTCCATTTTCACCGTTACTCGCCGGCAACTCCTGGAGAAGTTCAGAGTGGAGAAGGACAAACTGCTGCCAGAGAAACGCACACTTATCCTCACGCACTTTCCTAAGTAAGAGCAGCTTCTCCAGTGCTTACATTTAATGGGAGTTT